ATTATGCGATCAAACATCTATAACTGAATGGTTTTTTCTGTCTTGATTATAGATGGCTGCAGTTGCTGCCCTGTGCGTGCAATATGAGGCCGATTTCCGCCCAAACATGAGCATTGTTGTCAAAGCCCTCCAACCCCTGTTAAATGCTCGGCATGGACCCGCCGGTGAATCACCAAACTTGTGAATCTCCCAATCTCCGTGTCTCTCTCTTTGCCTCTATAGGTGTGTCATGTGTGCATGTATGAGTAAATCAGCATGCAATTATTGTAACTAAGGCAGTGTGTTCAGAGGGTGGTGGTATATTGTTTGCACAATGTTCTATATGCTTCATTTTCTTCTTTTTTCCTCTTTTCGACAGTTGTGTACCATATTGCTTCATTATTTGCGGTGTATTTGATTTGTTCATAATGCAAGGGGGTATTTTTCTCTTAGCGGACGTTATCGTTTCTCATTTGATGCTTTCAGCAAATTTATACAAGTGAAAAGAGAGCTTCTATGTTGATCTGTGTGTCAGAAGAACATGTGTACTCAGTAAGGTGAGGGCATTTGGTCATAGCAACATCTCCGCCGCCTACGAGAGCCGAATCTGAAAAAGCTCATAACCTGTCACAGTCCGGACACAGGGTTGGTAGAAATTCTCGAACTTAGAATATGAGCTAAATTTAAAGTAAATAGCTATATAACACTTTACTTTTTATCTAAATCGTTCTAATCCTTTGTACTCTCTTGATTGTCTGATAACCTGCATAAACAATGGAGAGATGAACTTCAACAATTTAATAGGGACATAATCTTACCATACTAAATTGACATTATTTAATCAAGTATCATGGCATCATACAATCAAATATCAAATTATTATCGATAGCAATGCAGAGTGCAATTAGTGACTGATCTAAGATTTTAAACTCGGAAGTCTCAATAATAAAAAAAATAAAAAAAATTTAGACAAAAACAACTGAAAAGTTAAATGATAATACATTTTCATTCATAAATCATACTCAAAATAACCTTACAAGCTACAAATCCTAATAAAGTCGTCCATGACAAAATTTCATAGTCTAAAAATGTTTTGAAGCTACATGAATTTACAAGATCATTTGGAAGGAGCTATTAGCTTGAGATTTTTTGGAGCATTTTCCAACACAAAGGCCTTTATTTGCTCATCATGATCCACAAGGAATTGTAAGAGCTCTAAATAGCTCTCCCCCTATGATTCGAAGTATTCCTTTCATCATGGCCACAAAAAAGAAAGCCTTGTCACAACAAGAACTTAGTGCAATATATTGATGCATTCAAGCAAAGATGATAGTTCATACACTCTTCTTCCAATTGTTTGATCACAATTGCTTTAATATGTGTCTTTTGATTCATTAGATAATTAGTCGTTTCTCTAGCTGTATTGTGGACGCTACAATAGGACCAACATGTTTGTCAAAACATCTTCTTGCATTCTTCCAATTCTTGAAGCCTATCAATAGGACCAACGTGTTTTGGGCCAAATCATTTAAAAAAAAAAAATTCTTTTCTTCTTCACGGTCGTCTTCTCTGTGAAGACGCCACTGCTGAGCTTGAACACAAATCCAAAGGACCAGCTTTCGACTTCAAGAGGTCCTTGGGAAATTTCAATCAAGGATTTCAGATCACCAAGGGGTCCTGGGACCACCTAGGTCCCTCTATAGACCCACCACTAAGTGCAATGCAAATTCTTCATCTATATTTGTTAATTTGTATAACTAAACACCCAGGTCACGCACGTTCCATTCTGTGCTTATATTATTTGACCATGAGTGACTAATTATACGAACTAACCCCCGTACCATTTGTTAGTTATCTTGCCTAACTCTTTGTTGCCAGTCCCGGATTATCCAATAAAAACCATTTGCGCTTTCAAGCTGATTTGAGATATGATACTAACCAAAAGTTAAACTTAACTACACAAGAATTTATGACCGGGTCATGACATAACTGCAAGCTCAAGCTTGGCTCTGATATTTTTTTCAAGCTCGTGTTCGGCTCGTTTGTAAACTAGACATGAGCTTTTGATTTTCATTAAAACAAGTTTGAACTTATGTTTAGTTCGACTTAGGGGGTGTAGTCAACTTAGGATTTGAAAGGATTTTAATAGATTTTTTTTAAGTGATGGATTTCATAGGATTATGAGACTTCTACAAAATCCATATAGATTTTGGAATACTTGAGAAGATTTATATAACATATTTCTGTAGATTTTGATAGATTTTACAGCGTTGAATCTTGATCGTCAAATAAATCAAATGGTGATAAATGTATTTAAGTCATGAATCCACCAAAATAAAGCTGAAATAAAAAATCAAGATTATCACGTAAACCCAACTACTTAAAAGTCTCCAGCCGCACCCCTTTCCAATCCTATTTCCTCCCCCACTTAATTATTCTCTCTTTTCCGTTCCAGCTAACCTCTCTCCTCCAATCCTTTTTTTATTTGTCAATACTCCTCTAATCTTTTTTTTCGCGACTTTCTTTTACTCCTCTTCATTCACAACCCAATTCCAATTCCCCTTCTCTGCCATGAAGAAAAAAATTGCACAAAATTGCAAAAAGAATTGTAGAAAAATTGCAATGATAAAAGAAAAAATTGCAGAGATGAAGGAAGAAGATAAAGTGTGAGAGGAAGAGGGAGAGGTTCTTGGGTTTGAAATCCCAAGGTGTGAGGTAGGATTATATTTTATCTTAGTTATATATAGGGGTGAAAAAAAATTCTCAAAAATTCCAAACCAAACCGAAAAATCCTAAACCGAAACTATCTTGAATTTTGATAATCCCATACCAAAAAATACCAAAATATTCGGTATGAGATTGGTTTCCAGATTTCATTTTTTCAGTATTCCCGAAATTCTGAAGTTTTGAGACCTTCTTTTGCTTTTGGTTTTGGTTCCTACTTTCCAGCACTACATTTGCAAAGAAAAAATTAAATAAAAAGAAGCCCTTCGGTCCCACTAGCAAAGGCACAAAAATAAAATAAAATGGAAAAGGCATGTGATGGTGATGCCTTGTCTGTTTGGGAGAAAAGCACAAAGCTTTTGTTTTGGTTTTGATTCTTGAGGCAGTGAGAGAAGCAGTCTTCGTGTTGCGAAGCAGAGATAGGAAGAAGCTCTCGCGTCTCTGGCCTCGACCCATTTCCCTCTCTATCCTCTTTGAAGCTCTCTCGTCTCTGGGTTATGAATCCTCAGCACTGCGCATGCACGATTTATAACCCACAACAAATAATTCCATTTCATGATCACTGAAGTTCGAGAGAAAAAGATTGGATTTTTGCATGTGGGTTCTGAAGGATTTGTGCAGAAACGGCATAAGAAGATGTGATTGTGGAGAGGAGTGGGTGTGGCCGTGTGGGATTGGGAGCGAGGTGGACTCGAAGTCGCCGCCATGGTCGTTGCTTACTGAGAATGGTGGAGGAGAAGGGTATTAAGATCTCTCAGGAGGCTTGTGAAGAAGCCAAGAGAGTTGATTCTCTTGATGCGGAAGCCGTGGAGATTGCTGGTGGTGGCGGCGTCTCGAACCGTACCGAAAAACCGAAAAACATTCGGGAATACTGAAATTCGGGAAAGTCGAAATTTCGGATTGGTTTCGGTTGCTGAAATCTCATCCCGAATCTTTGCGGTTCGGTATTTGGTATATTGTTTTCGGTTCAGTATCCCATACCGAGCCATCCTAGTTATATATACTTATTGCTCTTAAATCTCACAAAATCCACAACTTAATGAAATTCTACAAAATCTTTAAATTTTCAATATACCTAGATTTGGATGGACATTAAAATTGATTATTAAAATCTTGATTGACTACACTCTGATTTGCATGGATTCTAAAAATCCTTTAAAATCCTTTGGTTGACTACATTAGAAATTTTAAATCTTTTAAAATTCTTCTAAATTCGAGTTTGACTACACCTCTTAATTTTCAATAAAACCTAATAAAACAAGTATTTCCTAAAAAAGAAAAGAAAAGAAACATACATATAAATACATTTATTGTTGGAAAATAAATACGTGTTGCAGTCATATTTAGAAGATGAATGTGATTGTGTAAATCCTGGTGTATCTAGGGATATCTTTGAATATTCCCTTTAGTAGTTAATATCTTATTATAGTTGTAATTCTAAAAGGGTAGGGATGTAACATATCCCACCACTATAAATAAAGAAATAATGGGGTGATATAACACACATATCACAATTAAATCTCTATCTACTCGCTCTTATTGCCGTCAACCTTCCCTCTCTATTCTCTTAGAATAGTTTAGTCAAATAGGCCTACAACATACTGAAAATTGTAATGAAGAGAAGAAAGTAGCTTTGAAAAAGTTAAAAAAAAAATAAAGGATACGAAAAAAGGCGTGAGTCATGTATTGGAAAAGGATTCTCGCCGGATATTTTTTTTAGGAATCCTAGAAATCTCGTAATCATGATCGTTCATCGTACATTGTGCGGTCATAAATCATTTCAAAATTTAAAATTTAAAATTAAATATAAATAATACCTAACAAAAATTAACCGCATAATATACGATGAACGGTTACGATTATAAAATCTCTATAATCTCCAAAAAAAAAATCTGGTGAGGAAAAGCAGGATCCTTTTCCCCATGTATAGGGTATTTCTTTATGGATTTGTAGTGGCCTAGTGGTCATAGAATCACTAACCCCAATCTTTCGGCATTAACTAGGGTCAGGAGATAGACTCATTCTTTTTCTTTTCATTTTTTTCTTGGTCAAAGTCATCTTGCCCAGTTTCGACGTTAGAAATTGTGAATCTGCGCCACCACCCACCCACCTAACTAGTTACTAGTCTCAACAAGGGAATGTTATCCCCACTACAACCAGGAAATATAGTGTTAAAAGACAAAAGTATCCCACAACTCGCGTTACCGTTAGGCCTGCTTGCATAAGGAGGGCTAAAATAGGAAAATCACTGACCCCTACCCCACCGTGGTCGTGGCGGTGCAGGATAGTATTTAAGTATGCGAGTGGGAGAGAATCAAAGTAGAAGGTAAAGAAAAACAAGTAGCGAATCAATCCACCGGATTTCCATTTCCATTTCCATTCGGTGTTTATGTTTTGAAGAACCGATCGTCTTCGTTCGTCAGTAATCGTCAGATCTCCATTTTTTTAGAGAGCGCCAATGCCTGTGGATGTGAACGGAAGCAGCACGGCGTCGGGGGCCGCCTCCATGGGTATGGCGGAGGCGCAGTACCAGAAGGCCAAAACGTCCGTGTGGTGGGACATAGAGAACTGCCAGGTTCCCAAGGTCTGCGATGTCCACGCCATCGCCCAGAACATCAGTTCCGCCCTCGTGAATATGAATTATTGTGGACCCGTCTCCATCAGCGCCTACGGCGACACGCATGGCATCCCTGCTTCAGTTCAGCAAGCCCTCTCCAGCACCGGCATCGCACTCAACCACGTCCCCGCCGGTACTTTTTTTTTTTAATTATAAATATTATTATTATTATTTTGAATTTTGTATTTTCTTGGCCTGCTGCTGTTATTTAATTTTCCGATTCGATAGCATCGAGAATTGATTTTTTTTTAATCTTTTTTAATTTGATGAGTGAAATTGATTGTGTCAAGTGTAATTTGATTGTAGTATAGTGATCTACTGATTTGCTTTGTCAATGATTTTTGTTAATCTTGTCAGTCCTCAATTTGAAATAGCAAACTGAATCAATATGGTGCTGTTTTTGGGTAATTCATAAATTGCTTCAGTTTAGCAACTAGTTGTTTTGTTTATACCTCAAGTGCTTGAATTTACGTTACAAGCTGTGTTTTTCATAGCAGATTGATCGTATGCTACCTCCTTTTTATGTTCTCGTATTCATTCTTGTTAATATGTTGAGATTATTGAATGTTTTGTTGTTGTTGTAATTGGTATTTTGTATGGTTTTTCTCTTCAAATGATTCATGATGGTAGTTAAGTTGTCATCGTCCTTAGCATCTTCGTTGACAGCTCATTGTCTCAAACAGGTGTGAAAGATGCAAGTGATAAGAAGATTCTAGTCGATATGTTGTTCTGGGCAGTAGATAACCCTGCACCAGCAAACTACCTGCTCATTTCTGGAGACAGGGATTTCTCCAATGCTCTACACCAGTTGCGCATGAGAAGATATAATATTCTTCTGGCACAACCACATAAGGCTTCCGCACCCCTCATCGCTGCAGCAAAAAGTGTATGGCTTTGGACGAGCCTCTCAGCTGGAGGGCCCCCACTTTCAAGCGGGGAATCATCTCAGCTTGCAAATGGTAACAATTCTTATAACTCTGAAATGCGGCAGCATTCCATGCCTGAAATAAACCCGCCTCCAGTTTATTTTGAACATCCTGTGGGAAATCAAAAGCCTTCTACCAACGGAAGGGCTGGTGATACTAAAAACAAGGGGAAAGTCAATCGGAAAAACCCAAATCAACCCTACACATCAAGAGTCTCAAGTATGCCAGTTGGGAACCAAGATGACAAGAATACTGATTACTCTTACCAGTCGGAACATACACAGGCAAATCAGTTTAAGAAAGCTCCACACGAATTATTTGGTTCTGGTGAGACTTCAGTCTCCACAAGTAGGTCCAGTCCCGTTTTCTTCCATGGAAATTCTGATCCTTCAGGCGGTAATGGCAATAATTTCCTAGGTCAACCAAATCAGTATCCTCCTTCTTCGAGGCCAAACAACTTCCACATGCAACCTAATTATTTTGGACCAGATACTATGCTCCCTCCTGATTCTCATAGTCATAGTTTTCGACCCATTCCTCCCAGACCTGATGGCCCTAGATTTTCTTCAGCCCCACCTACAAATGTGCCTGACATGAGTAACCTAAATATCCGTGAGTATAACAACTATGCTCAAAATCCACAAAGGTTCCCTCATCGAAATGGGGAAGAGTTTAGAAGACCAAGGTCTAGCGATTCACTGAATTCAGCTAGCTTAAATGTGCCTCATAAAGGCCATCATATGCAGAGTGGCCAGGTGTTTCATCATGATTCCATGAACAACAGATATCCTCATGGTTCTGAGTATCAGCCTCCTCAATCCTCCCCTGCTGTTGGAAACAACATACCTGGTAATGGTACTTGGGGAGCTCAAGGCTGCACACCACCATCTGAACATGTTCAAGGCCTTATTGGCGTTATTTTACTATCTTTGAACACCCTGAAAGTTGAAAAAATTATGCCGACTGAAGCAAACATTATCGATTGCATTCGTTATGGTGATCTGAAACACCGCAATACCGATGTAAGGAAGGCCTTGGATTACGCAATAGAGCAACATATGGTAGTGAAGCAGAGACTGGGTGCACTTCAGTTTTATGTTGGTAAGAATGAGAAATTATGGAAGTGTGTGAACCCTATAGGGGGCAATCTTAATCATTACTCTAAAGCAACATGGGATCGGATACAGAACTTTCTGAGTTCCTCAGATGGACGATCGGCATTAATGGCTTCTCAATGCAGGTATGTTTACAGTAGAATATTCAGCTACTTATGCTTCCTCTACTGTTGAGTTTTGAAAATAAGCTTTGATCATCTTATTTCCTCTACAGATATGAGGCAGCTATTATTTTGAGAAAAGCATGCTCAGAAGAGCTTGCTTTGGGCAGTGTACTTCAGATCTTGAATATGGTAGTCAGCATGAAGAAATGGATCATTCATCATCAATCTGGATGGCAACCGATTACTATTACCCTAGACTAAAGCTGAAACAACTGCCGAAACTGGTAGTTGTTTTAGTCAACAACACTCTAAATTGCAGAGAAGTGGCTTTAAGATGGTTACATCTGCAACAATATTATCAGTTTATCGGACCTTGACCAACTGGGTTTACTTTTGAAACAAAATACAGTTACTAGAGTATCTAAAAAACTAGGGGGATGGAAACCTTTACATTGTGATCCAAGTCATCCCCTGCCCCTGCCCCGCCCCTCGGCTTCTCCTTTTTTATTTCTTGTTCTTGTTCTTCTTCCGTTTCTTTTTCTTTTTCTTTTGTCCTCTCTGGGGTACTTTAGGAGCTTCTAAGGAATAGGTAAAAATGCTTCTAACACAAGACCTATTATGCTATCAAAGTTCTTGCGAGCTGCCTATTTGAGAAGTTGATTGTACCAGCATTGTGAGGCTTTTTGTCCATTACAAATCAATGGATCGTTCTGCCTAAACCCTTCCTTGTAAGTGACGAAGTATATCAGGAACAGCATCTGGAAGTGGTAGTATCATGTTTCAGCATATGAGTGCATATGCAAGATTATATAGCTGTGGATAAGTTTGAGCATGTTTTACAATGATCAGGGATTACGGGATTATGTTCTGGACATTATTATTCAACTGTCCGTGCTGATGAGCTCCATTGAAGACTGTCATTATCAGGTACGTAAAACCAAGTGGATGTGGTTCGATGTTGTACTGGACATTATTAGTTGATGCGAAGACACGTTGGCAGTGGAAAGATTGAAGCAACTTCGGACATTGGAACAGCAATTGGAAGTGTGCACATTTAAGAAAGTGTCTTGGGTTCAGAAGGATGCCAAGGTAAGCCATACGTACCTGCAATTGCATGCACGTAGGAGGGATGCGATTTCTGGAACCTGGTATGGCAATAATATACATGCTTGGATGTTGCAGAGAACGCAAAATTTAGATCGTATCCTATGCGACGCTGTATGTTTTGAAATATATTCTAGGAGAATAGAGTTGTATAATATAACTACTTGTGTTCATCCTTTATGTTTGTTGTCTGCAACTCGAGCTTTCATTCGTTGGAGTTCAGACTGAACTGTTAAGTTTGGATTGCTCCTGGAGCTCAACTCAGAAATAATGCTGTGTTAAATATGTGTAAGCCCCCATGATTTCGGTTTGGTTCCCTTTGTAGATTGATCATATCAACTGAGTTTTCGCCGGAAAATTGCTGTGCCGGTAGCTTGGACTTGTATCTTTAAACCTAAGATTGTGGCTCAAGTTAGGGACCCATGAGTCTCTCCTGGCTTCGTCCCTCACGAATCACAAGTACGTCGGAGAAATTGTGTACTATAATGTTTTAGTGATATGGCGACAAGTTAACGTGTGGTAAGAACGTGACGTATGAAGGTGTTTAGTGGCAAGGTGTTACCATATCTTTAGCCTTAAACTACATCATTGGCCCACAAAGTTTAGTAATTTGAAGTTTAGTAATTTTAGTGGAGTCATGCCACACAATTGTATTGTAAGCAGCTATGTATTACATAACTAATTTTAACAGTTGCAAACCAAATTATGTGTCATCAATAAGAAATAAGCATGTTAATCAACGTTCAAGTAATAACCAATCATTAATAACCATATCATTTGGTTTTAAAAGTTTGGTCTCCTTAGCATTATCCCCCAAGATATCATGAAATACATCTACAACCGTACTTTGTGGTTTAAAAATTTGGCTGTTTGCATGTCCAAGCTAAGATTGGTTGAGGCGGGTAATGACGGTTGCGTAGCTTACTTGGTAAAGAACTTCTTTAGTTTAGCCGTCGTGGATTGATTCTAGGTGGTTAACATGTGTACTCGAGTTCATGTTCTGATTTGGCAAATCGACTTTTCCCTTAGTTTTGGACAAGACAGGTGGGAACCTGGAGGTCAAGCCTCTGTTAAAGCAATAGGGCAAATGCTAGTATACTAGCTTACTAGCTTTAGTGGCTTGTGTACTAGCATGTTAAAGGAAGCAAGGGTATGCGGATTTGGGATGCTGACTAAGTAGACGCGTAAGCGAGGTCCGAAAGCAGGTGGGCAACAAGAATTATCCCTCAAAATATCATGAATACTTCTGCAACCATACTTTGTGGCCTCATTTGACACATAGGATTGAGTTGAAAAGAATACTCCTATAAAGTCAAGGCATACTGACGTTAGAGAAGAACGGTTTTTCATTTTAAAGGAATCAAAAAGGGTTTAGACATGAAGAAAACTTTTCTCTTATAATCCTATCATTTTGTGAAAGATTAGAATGAATGATTCTTCTTCTTGAGTAATCATCTCATACCTGTAGTTGGCCACAATTATTTTTCTCTTTAATATCCTTCAAATTGTCATCCATTTCAATATAATCTTTTATACCACATAATTCCATCAACATAACTTTAAAATACTTGTGACCAAAACATAAGACCTCATAATTCAAATATAGATATGTCATTTGTTCACATGAAAAGATTTTTACATGTAATCAGAACATAAGATAGTAAACTATACATAATAATATAAATAAAAAATTATAATTTTTCTGCACTTGTATTATGATATATATTGTACCGACTTGTATTTTTTATTATACTAAAAACGGTCATATGTGCGCATGACTAAATTTAACAGAAAACTTGATTTTTCCATTTTCTTTCCTTATCTTTTTCTATTCCAAAACGATGGACCCCATATCCCACCTAGTCAACATTTGAAAGCAAACATTGGTGGATTCCAGCCACATTTCAAGTCAAAGTCATTCCTTCTTCCACATTGTTTAATATCGTTTCTTATGTAGAATATAGGAATAGCAGAAGACATGACAAATACAGTGTTTGACACAAAACAAACTAACTGGTTAATTGTTGATTGTTTAAAGACATGAGATCCAGTGATCCGTGCCAAAAAAATAGGATGACGACGACGGCAGTTCTCCAACGTTCCGGTGTGTTTTGTCTCGGGGCTGACCTAAGCCAAAGCCACCATATCCATAACCATAATCCACCCTTAAATCAATCTCAAAAAGCGGTCAACCATGCAACATTAACATCCATTCGGTTCCATGCAAAACCTAATTCAGGAAAATTCCACCACTATATATACCCATGCAAACCTCCCTCATTTCTCGTAGACATTAATTAATTAGGGTTCTCTCTTCTCATCTCCTCTCTCAATACTATTTCTCTCCGTTCCGCCGCCGGCTCATGTGTTAATTCCCTTCTGTCGCGGCAGAAAATAAAGCGGTTCGGAGGGATATTAGGGTAAAAAAAAAGAAGAAGCTGAAAACAAAAACATGGCACTTAATAAAAAAGTGGTAGTATCGGGGATTTCCCTGATACTTGTGGTTGGTGCGGTCATCGGAGCGGTGGTGGCCGTAGTCCACTACCAAAAGAAGCCGGGAAGCGAGTCTCTAACAGCGCAGCAGAAGATGGTGACCCAAATCTGTAATTTCACCGACTACCAACAGGAATGCCAGAAGAGCCTCGGCCCCGTCTCACAAAATAACAACGCCGAGTTTAAGGACTACGTAAAGGCCGCATTGATGTCCATCTCTGAGGAGGCCAACAAGGCCTTGAACACGTCCGGTTCACTTCTCGTCGACGCCAAAAATGGCACCTCCGCCAAGAGGACGCTCGAGGAGTGCAAGAACATGTTGAAGGAAGCTGTTGCCGAGGTGCAGGCGGTGTCCTCGTACGTGGGCGATGCTGACATGCACACCATGGAGGACCGCGTGATGGAGCTCAAGGCCTGGATTGGAAGCGTCATCAGTTATTCCACCACCTGCCTTGATATAATTGGCGAAAACGACCACAACCTCTACGAGGCATTGAAGGACCCCATCGGCAACGCCTCTGCCAGCACAGACAATGCATTGGCCATCGTTGGTGAGATCAGCAATGTCCTCGGCATGTTCGGTGTCAAAGTTAAGGACAAGGCCTTGAATGGCGGAGGAACTCAACGCCGGCTTTTGCAAAACGAGCTCAGCAGCGACGGGATCCCGACCTGGTTCTCGGCTTCCGACCGCAAGCTCATGGGGTTGCAAGACAACGGGAGGTTGAGGCCTCACATCGTTGTTGCCAAGGACGGGTCTGGCCAGTACAAGAGCATCAACGACGCGCTTAAGGCGTACCCGTACGGACAGAGAGGGCGATACATTATTTACGTCAAGGCCGGAGTTTACAATGAGTATGTTTACGTGGACAAGAAAATGATCAACGTCTACATGTACGGAGATGGACCCAGATCCACCGTCGTGACTGGAAGCAAGAGCGAAGCTGGAACCGGTGACAAAATCTCCACCAGTGGTACATTCCAAGTGTTTGGACCGGGTTTCATTGGAAGGTCCATGGGAATCATTAACACCGCCGGTCCAGAGGCAAGGCCAGCCGTTGCTCTCCGTACGGTCGGGGACCAAATCGCCTTCTTCAACTGCAGGATCAGCGGATACCAAGACACCTTGTACATGCAGTCCGGCCGACAGTTCTTCCGAAACTGTGTTATCTCCGGACACGTGGACTACATCTTCGGTGACGCCCGCGCATACATTCAGAACTCGTTGATCATCGTGAGGAAGTCAACCAACCCGCAGCAGAATCAAGCCTTCATCACCGCTCCCGGAAGGCAGTTCAAGCACGAGATCGGCGCCATCATCATCCACAACTGCAGGATCGTCCCCGAGCAGAAGCTCGTCCCCACGAGGTTCGAGGTGAGGACATACTTGGGAAGGCCGTGGAAGCCCTACTCCAGGGCTGTCTTCATGGAGAGCACTTTGGCAGACTTCATCAGGCCGGAGGGATACTCCGCTTGGGACGGCAAGGCCGGGAACACCCAACACGCCTTCTTCGGAGAGTTTAAGAACCGCGGCCCCGGTGCCAACCTTGCAAAGAGGGCCAGGTGGAGTGGTGACGGCTTCTACGGAGAGATGAACAGGGCCACCGCCGTGCAGTTCACAGCTCAACCCGCCCTGTTGGCTGATCGCTGGTTGAAATTTGCTAACATTCCGTACCTCCCCGGCTTCATTAGTGCTGATGCCTAAGACTCTAAGAGTCTTTAGCTGCTGACTTTCAGCCTAGAGAGAGAAGAAGAGATCTAGTACGCGCATATATCACATCATAATAATATACCTCCTATCATGTAGCGCTGTGTCTCTCTCAATATATATGTATGTATGTATATATCAAATTAACATAATGACTTTAGTGGCGTACGTACAAGATGGATGCATGCATATATAGGTGCATAGGTTATAATGAATGAATTGTTTTCCCCATCCTCAATCGATGTACAATTTATAGAAACTTAGAGAGAAAACAGAAATGACAAATTGTTTACTGAATATTCGTCTTCTTTCATTAAGTGATAATTACAAAATACACTTGGTATCTATAGCATTGTGCTATGTTGACAATTACATTGTAATCCCTAACTATTCTAACTAATCACATGTACATTTATAACAAGCTTACACTAAACAGAAACCAATTTTGATACTAGACTTGATGCTCTTTACAACCCCTCAAGCTAAACTTGGTATCACATTAAGGAACTAAGAGAAAGCTTCGATCGTAAGTACTGAAACTTGGTCTTGGACAATGACTTTGTATGAATATCAGCAAACTGATCTTGACTGCATACATATTAGACCTTGATTAAATTGGCAAGAACTAACTTTCGGATGTAATGATAGTCTATTCCAACATGTTTGGTTCTAGCATGGGAAATTGGATTAGAAGCAAGTGATATCGTGAGATATTGTCACACCAAAGTTGAGGAACTTTGAGCAGATAGAAGGGCCAATATCATGAAGAACTTCACAGATCCAAGTAATTTCTGTAGCAGTATGTGCTAAGGAACAATATTGTACTTTTGTAGAGGATCTAGCAGCAGTGGATTGCTTCTTTGTACTCCAACTAATGAGGTTAGTACCAAGAAAGATGTAGTAACCACTTGTAGGCCTTCTATCAAAAGTATATTATGCCCAATCTGCATCAGACTATGCAGTGAAATGAATTGAACCCTTTTTGAACCATAATCCATGTGTAACAGTTCCCTTGAGAAATCTCAAAATCCTTTTGGCAGCCCACAAGTGGGATTCTCTTAGAGCATGCATGAATTGGCAAATTTGGTTAAAAATGACAAGTCAGGTCTTGTCCACGTCAAATACTGCAAGGCATCAACTATGGATCTATATTTTGTAGGATAAGATAGAAGTGGTCCAATGTGATCAAGCTCGATAGAACTCACAATTGTGGAGCATGGTTTTGCACCTTCCATTTTTGTTTTCTGAAGCAAGTTAAGAAGATACTTGCCTTGATGGAGAAACAAACCATCTGTTGATCGTTGTACTTCAAGGCCTAAGAAATAATGGAGAGGGCGAATATCCTTAAAAGGAAAGCCAACACTCAGATGTTGACATTCACATCATATTATGTATAACTAGCTCTTCTTATAATAAATTAATAAGTTATAATACTTTTTAATTTGTGTATTCTTTTATTCTGCATTTTATATGTCCTGAATTTCCAATACAAGTATAGCTTTTTTTTAAGTGTAAATATTTTATTATTTATATGATATGTAATAAATTTACTTAAAACTGCCTAGTCTACTTAGACCCACTTTGCTATATATAAAGAACATTGTTCTCATATTGGATCATTTGTTTGATGGATTTGTGAACATCTCTCTCTACGTGCTCTCTCCACCCATAGCCCCCATCTAGGAGTATACTAGCACCAACTTGCTCAAAATCCATCTCTTCTTCAGATCTCTATCTTTGTGTATAGGCTTAAAGGAGGACTCATAACTTTAGAACTTGAGATTGTATTCAAACCGAGGAGAGCAAAGGAATATGATTGTGAAAGTCACCATAGGATAAAAGTTATGTGAAAATAAATAGGATGTTGCTATCTACATACTTTTTTTTTACCTCTTACACCTTTTGTTAATTTCTATTATTTGATCTTCTTAAATTCATTCAATTTCACACCCAAAAATTAAAAAATATGTAAAAAGTAAAAATAAGTGTGTGGATAGCACCACCGAATAAACATTACTTCAAGAGGTAGAAAGATACAAGTTCTTCCCTTCTCCTTTAAGTTTTTTTTTTTCTAGGTTCAACTATCCTTGGGCTTTGGAAAAGTAAGGGAAATTGATCTAAATTTAGTATATACTGAACCTCGCTTCTGCTTTAATCTCCTTTGAAGCATGAATTATTCAAATTACCACTAATCTTGCAAAGTTTTTCCTAAGTCGCGCGAAAACTTAAGATAAATCTTCATTTAAACTTAAATAAATTGGTTATCAACTAGCTTTTATCTTGAGGTATTTGTCTCCTCGATACTAAAAAAGTCTTTAAGTCCTAAACTCCATTTCCAATTATATCATTAAAAAGGAAAACGTGATAAGGTATTTAAGTAAAAAACAATACGTGTAAGAGTTATGTGGACTCATGACAAGTGGCATCAAAGTCCATGGTTTGCACAAAGCACAAACCCATTTTTGAATTAATTAAGTTTATGAGTTTTGAGGTTGCGAGGTGAAACTATTTAATATTATGGTTTAACGTTATTCTTTATTACTTATAAGTTAAAAGTTTTATATTCAAATTTCATAAATAACTAGTGCAAAATCAATTCTTTTATTATAAATATATCGTTGTATATAAAAAAAAAAGGTTAACAGATTAAAATGAAGGAAACCTTTACAACTAGATGACTGATAGAGTACTTTATTGTCTCTCCCGTGAGCATAAACTTGTTATTCTAAACAACGCAACCATGCGCTTTTTTGTCTTGGCAAATTACTAAGGTCTAATTGTCTAAATAAAACCCTCTATAAAAAAGGGTGTTCTATTACATTCATCTGTGTTATAAAGTGTTAATTTTGTGTGTTTAAATAGTATAATTGCTTACTAATTTGTTATGTACATTCCTCTCTTTCACAAGAGACTCTTTCTTGCAATTAAAATATAATCCAAAAAACGGCATTCATCCGTAAATGCTTGCATAAACTAGTTAAACTCAACCATGCAACTCTGTATTTTCTTTTCTTGGTAGAAAATATCAGTTTAAGCAATTCGATAAGTGATTTGTGTGGTGTTTGTTGGACTGTTCAGAACATGAATAATAACTTATAAGTTTGCAAGGAATAATGGAGGAAACGAGATAATTAATGCTCCAAATTGGTAATCTTCCAAGTTGTCAAGTCCAAATGTTTGGTTATTGGCAATTGAGTTGAAAGAAATAAAGATTAAAAACTGACCTTTCGCAAGTTGGTATGATAAGTCTCCCCTTAATTATCAATCATTATCTTCTCCCCCGGCAAGGCAAGGGAATGCCCCACACAAACAAGTGGGTTTCGTTAATATGTTATCTCTTAACCCAAACCAAAACAAAGATAAAACCACCATGATTGATTCTTCTATTTCTCTAATTAACAAAATACATGCTGAGAGCCTCAACTTGAGAGAGAGAGAGAGAGACGCTCCCTTTGCTGTTCAAATGTGGATTCTATACCATGTAATCTGGTTTTCTCCGTTAATTAATCTATGCAAGTTATAAACTATGAGATTTAAATTGGGTGTTTTTATTAACACCCCATAATTTTATGAATACACCCCAACTTCAAAATTATTCTTTAAAATTCCAATATTAGCCCTTTCATTGTTTAAGACCACCTTTTTATAATAGTTAAGAAATTAAAACCTTCTAACATCCTATCTCAACCGCTCACCCTTTTGCCACCTTCCTCGTCGATGTCGGCCAATGATAACCACCCCCTTTCCCGCCATTCTCTCTCTCTAGAATTCTCACTTCCACTAATATTTTGCAGGATATGAAATACCATAAAATTGAATTTTATAATGTCGATATCATCCTAATCAGGGATACCAACTTGATGGCCGTGAAAATTTTGAAAAATGCTACTTGCAGAGAAGCAATCCTTCTGTGTCAACTAGGAATTGACTTTCTATGAGACTATTGGCTAGTTTAATTGTACATCGGCATTTGTTTTGGTATACTTGAGATCATTTTGTTAATGGAGGTGCCATGGTGGAGGGCTATCGAAAAGGAGTAGGTACTGAAACTTGATGAAGGTGGTGCTAGTTTTGTTTGTTTGTTTTTATCTAATTTAAATTAGGGTAGAAAAGGAAATTCAAACTAAATAAAAGAAAATGGGGTGTATTCATAACATTGTGAGGTGCCATGGTGGGGGGCTGTCGAAAAGGACTAGGTTTTAAGATGATGAAGGTGGTGCTGGTTTTGTTTGTTTGTTTTTATCTAATGTTCCCTACTTCATTTAACAAAGTGATGACCAGATGCCAAATAACCATTGGTGTCTTTGAGAACGATTCAAATTTAAGATATGATGAAAGGAGTACAGATCCTCTTCGGATCTAAAAAAACTGAGCCTAAGAATTAAATCATTCAGGCCGTTGAAATTTGATCCAACGGCTACAAACAGAGAGCCCCTCTAAAAGTTATAATAATTGTAGCCGTTACATCAAATTTCAACGGTCCGGATCATTTGATCCTTGGGCTTAGTTTTTTTAGATCCAGAGATGATCTGTACTATGAGGAAAGTATATGAGGAAAAAATGATGATGAGAGAAAGGGGAAAAAAAAAGAATGAATGAATAAAAGCACAATCTTGAAAGTTAAAATAACATATAATTTTTTTGTTTGTTTTTAGTTTGGCTTTTTTTATTAGTATATCACATAATTGAATACACCTCACATTAAAATTTAATATGAAATGACTCATATACCTTAATACGCAATGACAATTTTGACTTCATAAGGTTTAAGAAAATAAAACAAAATTCTAAATACACCCCAAATCACTTTTACCATGTATATCTCAAGATTATTTTATCTTTTTTCAACTCTAGAACCACTTTCACCCTCCATTGTAGAACATAACTCTAACCAATGAAATACAACACGTTGATTGAGAAAAATTATTTTGACGAATGACACATGAAATTGACGTTTCAAAAGCCCTGCATGAGGTAAGACCATATTTTTAATTGTCTTAGTGATTTCAACAACATTGGCATTCCTATAACTGCGTTATGAATGATATCATCAAAAAGTATGATTGATGATGAGAATCACACACGTAATAAACCCTAAGCCATGTCTGATCACAAAATTTTGAAGATGTGAAGGGTATTGTTTTTTTTGGGGGGGGTATGTAGAAAATTCAAGGTGTATGTAAAAAATTTGGAGTGCAAGTAGAAAATGAGGAGTGTATGTAAAAATATAGTGTATGTTGAGAGTGTGGGATGTGACAGTATTTGAGGTGTATTAGGAAAAACTAAATATAAGAGTATTGATATAAGATGTATTACATATGTAGGATGCAGGAATTAGGATGCATTCAATAATATGCAAGGTGTTAATAAAACAAGTCATTAGTCATCCTTAATTTTCCCCACATAATTCTCCACTGTCACTAACATAGAAAGTGAAAAGGAAAAGCAACACAAAAAACGAATGTGAAGTGTTAATAAAAACAAGTCATTTTCATCCTTAATTTCTCGCACGTAATTCTCTTCTACCACTAACACAAAAAGTGAAAATAGAAAAAAATAAAATAAAAAACAATAACATTATCATTACGGACCCTTAAGAACAGTTCACCAGTTTATAATCATTAAAATTATAAAATCAATAATTACTTGCACACGAGATTAACATGTGATGGTGAAATATACAAGGCTATGAGCAAAGCCCGGAAGATATGGTGCAAAATGCAAATCCTCTGGGTCCAGAAGTGTCTGGACTGAAGGAGACAGATTAGCATATTTAACAAAAAGCTAAACATTGAATCATGGTTTAGATTTGAGTTAAGGAGGACCAAAATATATTCCTTGATACAAAAGAAGAGTAATACTAGGTAGACTGATCTTTTAGACCAAAATTTTAAATCATGTTATATATCATAATAAACACATTAATAAACACTTAACTAATAATCCGTCATCAACAACCACTTCATGTGATTTACAAAATAACCAAATACTCGGACACACCCATCAGAAACAATAGGTGGTCACAAAAGAATCTAACCCTATTTATTCTTCTTCATTGGATACCTAGCAAGTAGCAACAATATGTGAATGAATTGTTTTGTTGGGTCATCCTTGTTTTCTCCAATTTTTTTTTTATAAACAATCTGTTTCTGCTGCTGACATGGACGTGAATGTTTTTCCAAAGCTTGTGTGTGGGTGGAGTTGGGAGGAGAACAAGTTGTTCGAGCTGGCTTTGGCAGTGGTTGATGAGGAAGATCCGCAGCGCTGGGATGTAGTTGCAGCCTTGGTTGGAGGTAAAAAGAGTGCAGAGGATGTCCAGAAACATTATGTCATTCTTTTGGAGGATTTGCAGGTCATAGAATCTGGTAAACTGGATCACAAACTCGGACAGCAGCCGCCGAAGAATTATGTTCAAGTGGATCATTGCACTCAATCCGTATGCTGGACTGACGAAACTAACAAGTATGTGAAATCTTTGTGGATTAAAGTCATTGATTACTGCAAAAAATGCTTTTATTTGTTTTCATTTGTAACTTGGACAGCTACTAGAACTTGTTCTTACCTTCCTGTCAGATAGCTAGTTTAGTCTTAATCTTGTTTATTCAGTTCCATGGGATATTTGAGTTTTTTTTCTTCTGATGTTTAGAAAATGTCGTGTAACAGCTTGCTGGTTCAGTTGGACTTGAATTAAATCTTTCCGGCATATTGCTGCCTGTCAAAGCTTTCTTGTTCAAGCATGTATCCAAAATAGGATGAAGTGAAGCTGCTGGTCATTGCAAGTGTAACAGTTTGAAAGCTCTGTCAGCAGCTTGTAACATATCCACCCTTCTCTTCTTGTAAAACACAAGTTTAGTGAAATCAAGTGAGATAGATTAACACTAGAAACCCTAAATAGGGTACTCTGTCTGATTCATCTCATAGAAATTAAATCCTCACTTAGTTTCTAGCTACTTATATATCTTTATACATGATCTGCATCATTAAACAATGTTTATAATTTTATATGGCAAGATCTACTTGCCGCTTTGGGAGAAAAGCCGGAAGCTATGTCGAAGTCGGAATGGGAGAAATTAAATTTGTGGGCTTGCTCTTCAATTCGGTTGTGCCTTGCAAAAACTCAGAAGTATTTTGTGATGCGGGAGACGGTAGCAAGTGTGTTGTGGCAAAAATTGGAAGACAAGTATATGATGAAGAATGAGTTTGAGATGAAGGATCTTGGTGAAGCGAAGAAGATCCTTGGCATGGAGATCACTAGAGATAGAGAGAAGGGTTTGGTCAGTTTGAATCAAAGACAATACCTTGAGGAGTTGGTTCTAAAAGGTTTGGTGCTATCTTAGCACAACAGAGATTTCTGCTAACTGCTAGGCAAAGATGTCTGGGAACAGAGCTCATTGTGGAGAAAATTGTAATGACATTTATTTATTTGTTTTTGTTTTGCAATCTGTTCTGATTAAGATACATTTTGCTTTTTATGAACGAAATTGTGCCATAGATGAGAAGAACATTACTAAAAGAAACCATATTTGATTGGGACAACGGAAACAGAATTTACGATCAACCGACACAAGGGTTGCGCTTGTTGCGGGACTTAACCAAGCCAGAAGAGGCAATGCCTTGCATGAGTAGGGCCGCAAGAGTTCTATTTTGCTGATTGGAACTCCATCCATGCTCTACCTCGGATTTGGATCCTCTCCTGAGCTAATGGAGAGGATCCTCCTAACCAAACATATTGAGTCATTGGATTTTTATCCAACAGCTACAAACAGGAAGATCTCTTTAAAGTTATAATAATTATAGCCGTTTGATGAAAATCAAACGGTCCACAATGCTTGGTTAGGAGGATCCTCTCCATTGGCTCAGGAGAGGATCCAAATCCCTCTACCTCTTGTCTGTTTTATGAACTCTCTTTACAATTACTCAATAATCAACATGTAATAAAACATATACTTTACCAGTTGGTTGGCATTTGAGATTGATAATTGCCTCCATCTCCATCTGCTTCATTCAACTTGTGGTGGGTATAATATTTGTCCCTTACAGCTGTTTGTATATAAACCAAATCAGTAGTGCCTACGCCTAAACCTAATGAGTAATTTGAGTTATGGAAAGGGCCCACAACAATTGACAAATGTGACGATTGATGATTGAGCTACCTTCATCACCAAACTCATCTAAACCCCAACCTACCACCACACCAGATTGAAGTTGGCCTTGCCTCTATCTGCATAAACATTTCTTCTTATTTTTTTTACTGTTTGTTTTAACTAAAGTGGTCGAGGTGATTTTTTGGGTAAGGCAAGATTTTGTTGCGTACGGATCAAAATTTAAGAGATGAACATTACGTAACGGATTCACATTTAGGCAAAACTTCCATAAAAGGTTGGGAATAGCTTCTTCAACATCTCAAAAGACATCACGAATCTGTAAAATTAAAACTTTGTTACAAAAAGATGACAAGGGCCTTCTTCACTTGAGTCAATTTCTGAAGTTCTTCCCCTTCACCAAACACTTGACTAAAGACGTCTAACGACACAAACAATGTGAACCAACTCCCTAATTCCTCCCAACCCAAGACGAATTCTAGAGTCTCTAGAAAACAAACTCAATCAACCAAAAATTCTTACATCATTCAGAATCAGAATCTGGATCCACAATATCAGGAAATGAATCCGCATCTGAATCATTACCCAGTTCATATGCAATTCCCTTGCCCTTCTCAGGATTTGAAGTAGACGCTGAATTCTTCTCTCTGCCAAGAAACCCATCACCTTTAGCCACCGGAACATCATGGGTTGTAACCGTAATGCTACCTGCTTGATCAGATGGACCACTTCCAAGAGCAACCCTCCCAAAGACTTCTTCAGCAACTCTAGTTCCAGCCACTGAGGCAACTTTTGAAGACAGACCATTCTCAAGTTGCACTGCAAATTCTTGAAATTGGCAGGATTCAACCATATTTTCATCCCCATTGACTCTCATATCCACATCCTGAATGGATAATTTGAGCTCCTGTGCACTTCCTCCTAGAGTCTCTTTTCCAAATGAACCATCTACAACAAGTTTTTTATCCCGATGAACTGTTAGAGTTTTGGATGGCTCTCCCGCCTGCATAGTCTTGTCTAGGTCACTCATCGGTGCTTCTAATTGTTTACCAGTTGCAAGCCAGCTAGTATATAGGTCGTCACAATCTGAATCAGAAGCATCATACATTCCCTGTATGTCACTTGAAAACGGAGTTTGGTGCTTTACACTACCAGAGTACATGTTTTCTGGGAGTTTGTGGCTAACTCCAACCGAGAAACCTGCTAGTGGGAGTGCCCTGGGATGTACAAGGACCTCTAAGGTCAAAAGAGAATGAGCACAAAATCCAGCAACTTTGGTTCCAGTTTCTTGCTTGCCTGCACAAAACCACTTTCATGTGGTTACAGTAATTAAGGAAATACATGTACAAGAAATACAAAATTCATCTGTAGCCGTTTCACTCAGGCATATTGCATAAAAATATACTTTTCTAATTAAAGAAAAATTATTGAGATGGTTAATATCATTTCATATACATGTCTCTTCTTTTTCAGAGAGATGTCTCATGCTTTGTCATTGAGTTTTAATTTGTAGATTCAGAAAACAATGCCAGTCTCATACTCGGTAGTTTTCCCTTATGAGTAATCACGTGTTATTAAAGAGGTGTAATTCCTTCCTCGACATCAGTAATTAGTTGTAATAGATGCCTATTTGTTGTTGTTGATACATCCACGAGATAATCAAAATGAAAAAAGAGATTTCACTTATTCTTGAAGGAATTACCTCTGCGGAAAAGATCAAGACCCTCAGCTAAATAAGGGGGGCGGACACCAGATGAAGAAAGTAACGATGCCAAAAGTGCACGTAGAGCAGCAAGCTGCAAATCACCCCAGATATCAACAGGTTCCTTCAGCTGGTAAATGTTTTTGTTATCACCAGCACGTCCCACTTTCATAGAATTTGTAGCTATGTCCATCAGAAGAAGACCAACATCTGATCGCCATCCTTCAGATTTCAACGCACCACCCTGTGCAAAAGACATAGAACCTCTTGTCACTCATTAGTAGTCCTTTGAGGTCAGAAAGAATGATCCACAAGCATTTGAAGTTTTACTTACACAAGTGGATCAGGAACATAAGAACTTTAAAAGACCACACCCTTGTTCTATTAAGACAGAATAAAGACAAAATTTGACCACTTAAATATCTTTCATCACCAAAGAAAAAAAAAATGAACTCAACAAAATCAGCAAGGTGGGCGGATGATTATGTGGTTGCTAAAATCCAGAATTTTTTCTTTTTTGAAAGGAAACGAAAGAGTTTACAAAAGAGGAAAAGAAAACCACGTGGAAAAGATAACCACCTGGAGCTAGAAGAAAATTAGCAAGGACCCCTACTGAAAACTAATTGAACAGAGGAAAAGCTAAACCGAATCAATTAACGGCTGCTAACAAATCCCTAAATATAGAAGAGAGATTGTACTCTCTAAGCTCCACTGAAACCGAAGCCCAAAGGGCTGCCCAGTGTCTTACTCTATCCCAAAACTCCACTAAAATTCAGATATGAAGACTCCAAATTGAAATCTAGGATCCAGCAGTCAAGCATCTCTACTCTTCTACTTGTGCAAGAAGGACTTTACTATTTCTTACATTAATTATTGACAGAAACCTGATCCAAGACCTTGGATTGACATAAATATCATACACAGATGCATTTGAATCAACATTCTATTCAAGGACATACAGAGTACACTCTCCCTCCACAAAAGGAAAAAAGAAAAAACAAGGACATGGACTACACATACCACAGTGACAAGGGCTTCTAATGCCTCAAGTGCAGCGATTTTCACAGGAATAGGAGATATCGTATGGCTCTTGGGGTTCCCCTCTCCCAAACTACTAGTCTTATGCCACTCAAGAGATCCACTTGAAGCTCCATGCTTCCTCTTTCTATGGCTAGATTGTGGTGTTGTTTGAAGCAATGCTTCAGTAGAAGGCTTCGAGTTTCCACTAGAAGGTGCACCACCACTCTCATTCACAATGGGATTCAGATCAATCAAAGCATTGTTAGCAACTTCCCGTGCCAAGCTTAATGTCATACCTGATAAGCATATAGTTCCCAATTAACAAAACCAAAAAATGACTTACAGAAGAAGGGCACTAAATGGCAACCAAAATAAAGGGTATCAGGAGAAAGCTTTATGCAGATTCCCTAAACAATAGCTGTCATAAATAAATGAGGATCATGGACTGAAGCATCACAAGACCATGGCAATATATCAGAAGTAAAGGAACATAGTGGAAGGGTGGTTACTTACTAAATTTGACTTTTTAATGCAAATTCAGGATAGAAGTAGCCATCTCCCCACACAAGATAGCTAATAAGATCAATGCGTATACTTTATTTCTAGGATTTCTCAAAGGAATGACTTTGTTTAGTAATATGGCTATGCATATTAGTTCCTTTCTAGAGGGATTAGGCTTTCTGGATTGGTCAACATATCTTGCTCCATCCCCGTCTTTGTAATGTGACATTAGTATTTAACAGGAAGGTTTCTATGCAGCAGGACGAAAACTAGATTAAAATATATTTTCTGAAATTACTACATACCAAAACCCATGGATATCAGCAAAATCCTTGTGATTGAGTAGACCTTTATCCTTAATTCTGGCAATGCACATCTCTTTAAGTACACTGAAAGAAGATGCACTAAATAAGCAGCATGTGGTAAAAGTTGACTGCAAGGAAGACAACAAGATTACCAGAAAGTTAGCATTCTCACTATTCAAGAGCTAGGAAACAAACTAAAGAAGGAAATATCTTTAAGACGTTTAATAGCTGAGAGAAATAGAGCCTAAAAGAAACATCTCTAGCAGTCCTAAGTTCAGGACTCGGCATATTGAACTCACATTATAGTTGGGATATCAAGTAAGCATCCCCCCGAATATCACAAGTTCAAGAATTAAGGTGTCACCTATTACCCAAACGTTCTATTGAACAAAAACTTATGTTGTTCTAAGATATTCATTGACAAATGGCAAAGAAAGTAATACCACTAGAGAGACAATTTATATATTTCAAGCTTGTACATCACTAATTGTCAGCTCAAAGAAAAAACCATTTGTTCTCTCATTGTTTCCTTCCTTTTTTTTTTTTTTTTTTTTCTTCTTTCTTTCTTTCTTTCTTTCTTTCTTTCTTTCTTTCTTTCTTTCTTGGGGTTTATGCAATTAGACAAAAAATGAGAGTTAGATTATCTACACTTGCACAATATCGGGCAAAAGCCAACAATAGCAGGTCCCTGTTAACAAATTTCCAGGTTAGCATTCAACTATGTCGAAGTTAAAACCCATACCAAAAAATAACAATTAAATGTATAACTCAAATTATATCAGTAAGACACATCTGGTAAATAATAGAAGAAGATATTCTAGATTTACCTGCGCACGCCCTCTATAATAGCAGTGAGGAACTCTAAACCATACAGGTGCAGAAGTGGTAGTTCCGAACAAATAAACTCTTGCTGTGTGGCAGTCATAAAGGGCAGCAGAGAGTGTGGGAGGGAACCATCCACAATCAGCACTCTCTCAATAAGGACAAATAAGGACCGAATAGGAACAGTCACCTATTATTATAAATATATTAGATACTTGAGGACTATCAAATTCATTTGCATTGTGCATAAAACAAGGAAAGACAAGTGGAACCTAATATTATAGTGACACTCAGTTTATCTATTTTTCTTTTTTTCTCTTTTTCACAGAAACCCACCTGAACAGGGTACGAAGTTGTTATCATTGTAGAGCAGCAAACCATCAGTGCAGAGATACTAGACATTGTCAAACGCTGAGAACTCTTTCTTCCCTTCGTCGAATCTTTTCCTGACACTTTATTTCCTCCCAACTGAGGAGGGGGATCTTTTCCTAGGGGAATCAATAATCTAATAATTTCATGGCGTTTCGTTTCTGCAATACAAGTTATTATGAATATCAGTTATTTACCTTATCGCCAATATGAATACAAAAAAATATCATAATAGCATCATAACTGTACCTTCCTCAAACCCCTGGAAGACATCATTCAGGTGACCATTAATCAACAATAAAATCTTCTGAATCATTAAGGACCAGCTATCCTCATCCCCTCTTGACTTTGGTAGTACTGCCAGGCAATAAGCAAGTTTCTGAACGTTGAATACCAGACAGAAGTTATTGCAGATGCCAACTATTGTTCCAGAATATTAACACTACATTTTCCTCACATAATTTGGTTCAAACAAACAGGAGTTTACCTTCAGCATGTTATCACTTCCTTTTCCTGACAAAATTGTTGAAGCAATAACATCTTCAACCTGCATAAACGTACATTTAAAATTCATTAGCGGGCAAGGTCTAGTGCAGATGTGAGAAAGTCCTTTTCTAGTGTTTGTCCAACAAATAAGGGGTCTGGAGAGGAGAGGTTTAATGTTCTTGAGCGCTATTCAAGCAACAAGAAAATCTTCTAAGTTTTTCATGTAAAGTGGATCAAATAAGGTTTACCTCTAAGGTATCGTTAACTAGGCTTAACATACCTATCGTATGATGAATATACCTCTAGAACAATTCAAGAGGACATATATCTAGCCAACCATTATTAGGTTTCTATGCATTATCTACGATGAGATAGTATGACCCCCTACAATGACGTACTCTCTGCAGTATTAACATCATTTTTCAGCTTCTAGCAGGCCACATCTCACAAAGAGAAGTTGTGTCTTTATCGCAAGGTGCAGTTGATAACGTTGTAACTTAATGTTGACAACTTAGAACTGAAATGCCCACACAATAAGAAATTAGATGATTGTCTGATCCAATTTGGTAAAATTGGCATTTGATTGCTATAAGAACAGGCAAACAAGTTTCAATAAATCGAATAATACAAATATACTTCATCCACCAAAAAGAACTTATTTGATAATATTTACTGTACTTAGCTGTGTACAAATCCAGTAATGGAAGCTCTGTATGGAGGACGAGGAACTTACACTGTCATAATGACGACTGATGCTCAATGGAAAGAAAGATATAATTGTGCATAACAATCGAACTGCTCCTTCCTGCATGTAATATGGAAACCATTTCATACATAACTAACATCAATAAAATAAAAAATAATAATATTGTCTTACTGAATTATATATTCTATTTTGGACAAATGTAATATATTCACAAGACTAAGTAAATGATACGGTTTAGCCTTACCATTGTTTAATTAGCATTACCTTAAGGTCCTTGCTACTTATTCCCGGTTCTAGGTGGAACTCTTTTCCACTTATGTAAATTCGGACTATACACAGTAAAACTAAGAACATCGAGCTATTGAATGACTACAGCTTTAGCCAGCTTGGCCTCTTCAGGGTTTTATCTTAGAACATCCAAATTTGCAAAACATGGCCAAAGATGTTGCCTTACAACTGCCTTAAATTATGGTCTCTATTTTATAAGTAAATGCAAAAATTCATTCCAAAAAAAATCGACCAGAAAGAAAAAACGCTTCTTTCACAGTTATACAACATTGATTAGCAGCTTACCCAAACAACCTCTGAATGATCATCATTTAACAACTTCAAAACTGGTTGAATAATTTGCTGAACAAGTTTCCCGGCATGTGCAGTTCCATCCCTTTTTGCATTTAGAGATCCACCCAACCTATAAAAAACAAAAGAAAATAGCTTCACACTTGAGGACTGGCACAGTACTAATTTATATGGCCTTCAATTACACTGGATAAGCAATAAGGAATATTAATTCCATTACAGAATTGCTGATGTAATTTATCAACATTAAATCTTAACTTGATATTATAAAGCAAGATAACAGATATAAGTACCAATGAAAATTTGAGGAAGTAATTCAGATATAATATACAACCTTGTGATGAGATCTGACATCGAGGCACAAGAGGCCACCTTCACAAATTGAGAAGTTGTTGTGGGCTGCTAAATGAAACACAGAATAAGATTTAAGTTAAATATTACCTTAAGAGGGTGGAAGCGGGATAGTTCATATATAAATCAGTTTATTCACAACAAAACCAAAAGTTCAAGGGACAGAATCCACGACAGCATCTAAACCTATACAAATGCAGTCTGAGCTATATCAAAATTCCAAAAACAAATTGCAACAGAGGATCATGTGATCCGAAAGGACAACAACAACAACAACAACAAAGCCTTTTCCCACTAAGTGGGGTCGGCTATATGAATCCTAGAACGCCATTGCGCTCGGTTTTGTGTCATGTCCTCCGTTAGATCCAAGTACTCTAAGTCTTTTCTTAGAGTCTCTTCCAAAGTTTTCCTAGGTCTTCCTCTACCCCTTCGGCCCTGAACCTCTGTCCCATAGTCACATCTTCGAACCGGAGCGTCATTCGGCCTTCTTTGCACATGTCCAAATCACCGGAGCCGATTTTCTCTCATCTTTCCTACAATTTCGGCTACTCCTACTTTACCTCGGATATCCTCATTCCCAATCTTATCCTTTCTCGTGTGCCCACACAACCCACGAAGCATCCTCATCTCCGCTACACCCATTTTGTGTACGTGTTGATGCTTCACCGCCCAACATTCTGTGCCATACAACATCGCTGGCCCTTATTGCCGTCCTATAAAATTTTCCCTTGAGCTTCAGTGGCCTACGACGGTCTCACAACACGCCGGATGCATTCTTACACTTCATCCATCCAGCTCGTATTCTATGGTTGAGATCTCCATCTAATTCTCCGTTCTCTTGCAAGATAGATCCTAGGTAGCGAAAACGGTCGCTTTTTGTGATCTTCGCTAGATTGCTCCGGTCATTAGTGTGGATAAGTATATAAATGGATAGAGATAGGAAAGCAAACACAAGATGTACGTGGTTCACCTAGATTGGCTACGTCCACGGAATAGAAGAGTTCTCATTAATTGTGAAGGGTTTACACAAGTACATAGGTTCAAGCTCTCCTTTAGTGAGTACAAGTGAATGATTTAGTACAAATGACATTAGGAAAATATTGTGAGAGAATGATCTCGTAATCACGAAACTTCTAAGTATCGGAGTGTGGTGTCGTCTTGACTTGCCTTATCTGTCTCATAGGTAGATGTGGCATCTTCTCTCTGGAAGTACTCTTCCTCCATCCAGGGGTGGTATCTTTAACTGGTGGAGATGCACAAGGTAATGTATCAATTTCACTTGAAGCTTACTTGTAGTTTCAGGCTTGGTCAAGCGCGATACAAACCATGTAGTAGGAGTCCTCCAAGTCGCCGAGCTAGGGGGTCTGCTGAAAGAGGTGACAGACAAGGTAAGCAATCAGAGCTCCGACTGATTGTTCACCTTCTCCCCATCTTGCAGCAGCATGAAGGATAAAGAGAAGAAAAATGAGAAGAGATGATATGAGATACTTTTGCTTTTGAAGAAGTAACTTTCCACAGGCTTATTCTTGAACTGACTGAGCTGGAGGGTTTTCTGGTTTCCTCCAGAGTATAAGGCCGGCTGAAGAATTTGAGGGTCAAAACAAGTCCATCAAATCTAGAGTACGTTCCATCCTGCTGATATGGGATACTTTTGCTTTTGACAGAGTAATGGATGTATCGGCACGTGTGCTGTTACGCTTGTCTCCACATGCTTCCTTGTATCCTTCGCACTTGCCCTATCTGTTCCTCAAGCAGCAGATGCGGAATCTTCCCTGGAAACATAAGATGTTGAAGATGAGTACTCGAGAGCAATGCCAGGTAAGTAATCAGGTAAGGGGTTCCAGGCAGTCAGTTCCTGGCTGGAAGCTTGATTCCAAGTGCTGACTGATTGCTCTCTTTCTCCTTGTCTTGCAGGTAAAAAAACAAGGCCAAAGGAAAGACAGGGAAAAAGCATGATATGGGATACTCTTGCTTTTAACCCTGATGATATGAGATATTCTTGCTCTAGTATAGCTAGCTTGTTTGCAGAGGTATTATCGGGGGGAAAGAAAGCTGAATATTTCGAAAGGCTTCGTTGGGAGTGCCCTCTCAGATATGATGAAGGGTTGAGCATTTTTGCAGGTCTGCCTGTCCGTTGGGGATGGAGGTCGACATATATAGGAGTCTCCCTAACAAGTAGTAATGCTATTCCTTTACCCTGCTTGGTCATAGCACGGTAGTGGGAGCTGCCAGTTTCACACATGTTTTAACTCTGTCAGAGCACTTTGAAAAAGTGGTCTGTGGTATCTGGCTCTCTCGAGATTCGGAGAACGATGCCTCTTCGATTTTTGAGAAAGCAATCATGCTGGGGGTCTGGCTCTCGAGATTCGGAGAGCAGTGTCTCTTCGATTTTTGAGGAAGTAATCATGTTGGGAGTCTGGCTCTCGAGATTCGGAGGGCGGTGCCTCTTCGATTTTGGAGCAAGCAATCTTGTTGGGAGTGTTGTCTCGAATGTGAGTAAAGGTTGGGCATGTTTGCTAGTCTACCTTGTCACGAAGCACAAAGGTTGACACACAGGGACTTTCCAATTATCCAGCAATGGTACTGTTCCTTTACCCTCTCTTCGATTTTGAGAAAGTAGTCATGTTGGGAGTCTGGCTCTCGAGATTCGGAGGACGGTGCCTCTTCTATTTTTGGAGCAAGCAATCTTGTTGGGAGTGTTTTCTCGAATGTGAGTAAAGGTTGGGCATGTTTGCTAGTCTACCTTGCCACGAAGCACAGAGGTTGACAAACAGGGACTTTCCAATTATCCAGCAGTGGTACTGTTCCTTTACCCTTGTGGGTAATAATATGGTAGCTAGACCTTCAAAATTTATGTGTCTAAACTTTGTTAGTGTTGTTTCTTTGCTATTCTTTTACCTTTCTTGGTCAGAGCGATGTAGTGGGAGCTGCAAGCTTCACGTGCTCAACTTTGGCAGAGAACTTTGGCAAAGTTATCTGTGGTACCCATGAGCTATTGTTGCGTGTGGGAAGTGGGTGATTGAACAGTAAGATTCATGTGCTTTCTACTTCACCAGAAGTCTTCGACAGAATGCCCATAATTTCTGCAAAGCTGAGTGTGCGTGTGACAGGTGCTGACAAGGCTAGAAAAGTAGGTGCCGCTTCGATTTCTGAGATCGGCCCTCGTGGTCTCTGAGCAGCCCAGCTTTTGAGAAAGCGAGCGCCTTTTCGATTGATTCGGAGAACGATGCCTCATCGATTTTTGAGAAAGCAATCATGCTGGGGGTCTGGCTCTCGAAGATTCGGGGAGCAGTGTCTCTTCGATTTTTGAGAAAGTAATCATGTTGGGAGTCTGGCTCTCGAGATTCGGAGGGCGGTGCCTCTTCGATTTTGGAGCAAGCAATCTTGTTGAGAGTGTTTTCTCGAATGTGAGTAAAGGTTGGGCATGTTTGCTAGTCTACCTTGCCACGAAGCACAGAGGTTGACACACAGAGACTTTCCAATTATCCAGCAATGGTACTGTTCCTTTACCCTCTCTTCGATTTTTAAAGAAAGTAGTCATGTTGGAAGTCTGGCTCTCGAGATTTAGGAGGACGGTGCCTCTTCGATTTTGGAGCAAGCAATCTTATTGGGAGTGTTTTCTCGAATATGGAGTAAAGGTTGGGCATGTTTGCTAGTCTACCTTGCCACGAAGCACAGAGGTTGACACACAGGGACTTTCCAATTATCCAGCAGTGGTACTGTTCCTTTACCCTTGTGGGTAATAATATGGTAGCTAGACCTTCAAAATTTATGGGTCTAAACTTTGTTAGTGCTGTTTCTTTGCTATTCTTTTACCCTTCTTGGTCAGAGCGATGTAGTGGGAGCTGCAAGCTTCACGTGCTCAACTTTGGCAGAGAACTTTGGCAAAGTTTTCTGTGGTACCCATGAGCTATTGTTGCGTGTGGGAAGTGGGTGATTGAACAGTAAGATTCATGTGTTTTCTACTTCCCCAGAAGTCTTCGACAGAATGCCCATAATTTCCGCAAAGCTGAGTGTGCGTGTGACAGGTGCTGACAAGGCTGGAAAAGTAGGTGCCTCTTCGATTTCTGAGATCGGCCCTCGTGGTCTCTGAGGAGCCCAGCTTTTGAGAAAAGCGAGCGCCTCTTCGATTTCTGAGATCAGCCTTCGAGGTCTTTGAGCAGCCCAACTTTTTGAGAAAGCAAACGCCTCTTCGATTTCTGAGATCAACCCTCGTGATCTCTAAGCAGCCCAGCTTTTGAGAAAGCAAACGCCTCTTCGATTTCTGAGCAGGCGCCTCTTCGATTTCTGAAGCTCCGTCGAGTGCAGATTTTTATAGGGGCTGACATTAAGTTCCAAAGCACACTTGAATCTCCACCAGTAGAAGCTTCATTCTTGCACTTCTAAGATCTTGATTTGTCCGACCTCTTCTCTCTTCAACACCTTTGAAAATGTCTGGCCCCTCCGACCGTCGTTTTGACTTGAACCTTGTTGAAGAGGCAGCCCCGCCTTCTCCAGACAACATATGGCGCCCATCCTTCGTCTCCCCTACTGGTCCTCTTACCGTTGGGGATTCCGTGATGAAGAATGATATGACCGCTGCGGTGGTGGCCAGGAACCTTCTCACTCCCAAAGATAACAGACTACTTTCCAAACGGTCTGATGAGTTAGCTGTTAAGGATTCGCTGGCTCTCAGTGTTCAGTGTGCAGGTTCTGTGTCTAATATGGCCCAACGCCTATTTGCTCGAACCCGCCAAGTTGAATCATTGGCGGCTGAAGTGATGAGTCTCAAACAGGAGATTAGAGGGCTCAAGCATGAGAATAAACAGTTGCACCGGCTCGCACATGACTATGCTACAAACATGAAGAGGGAAGCTTGACCAGATGAAGGAAACTGATGGTCAGGTTTTTACTTGATCATCAGAGATTTGTGGGTTTGTTCCAAAGGCATTTATTGCCTTCGTCTTCTGGGGCTGTACCGCGTAATGAAGCTCCAAATGATCAACCTCTGATGCCTCCTCCTTCTAGGGTTCTGTCCAGTACTGAGGCTCCAAATGATCCCCCTCCGGTGCCTTCTCTTTCTGGGGCTCTACCGACTGCTGAGACTTCTCCTAAGCAACCTTTGTGAAGGCTCCCTCTTGTGTGTTTATTTTGACTCATGTATATGTACATATTTGTAGCTTATCGGGGATATCAATAAATAAGCTTTCCTTCATTTCAACGTATTGTGTTAGATACACCAAAGCCTTCTTCGCTAAGTTCTTTGAATTTTCTTTTGTTGAAGCTTGTATGTTGAAGCTTTCTGAGTGGAGCATGTAGGTTGGGTAGTGTTCCCTTAATTTTCCGAGTGAGGAAAACTTCTCGGTTGGAGACTTGGAAAATCCAAGTCACTGAGTGGGATCGGCTATATGAATCTTAGAACGCCATTTGTGCTCGATCCTGTGTCATGTCCTTCGTTAGATCCAAGTACTCTAAGTCTTTTCTTAGAGTCTCTTCCAAAGTTTTCCTAGGTCTTCCTCTACCCCTTCGGCCCTGAACCTCTGTCCCATAGTCGCATCTTCTAATCGGAGCGTCAATAGGCCTTCTTTGCACATGTCCAAACCACCGTAACCGATTTTCTCTCATCTTTCCTTCAATTTCGGCTACTCCTACTTTACCCCGGATATCCTCATTCCTAATCTTATCCGTTCTCGTGTGCCCACACATCCAACGAAGCATCCTCATCTCCGCTACACCCATTTTATGTACGTGTTGATGTTTCACCGCCCAACATTCTGTGCCATACAGCATCGCCGGCCTTATTGCCGTCCTATAAAATTTTCCCTTGAGCTTCAGTGGCATACGGCGGTCACATAACACACCGGATGCACTCTTCCATTTCATCCATCCAGCTTGTATTCTATGGTTGAGATCTCCATCTAATTCTCCGTTCTTTTGCAAGATAGATCCTAGGTAACGAAAACGGTCGCTCTTTGGTATTTCTTGATCTCCGATCTTCACCCCTAACTCGTTTTGGCCTCCATTTGCACTGAACTTGCACTCCATATATTCTGTCTTTGATCGGCTTAGGCGAAGACCTTTAGATTCCAACACTTCTCTCCAAAGGTTAAGCTTTGCATTTACCCCTTCCTGAGTTTCATCTATCAACACTATATCGTCTGCGAAAAGCATACACCAAGGAATATCATCTTGAATATGTCCTGTTAACTCATCCATTACCAACGCAAAAAGGTAAGGACTTAAGGATGAGCCTTGATGTAATCCTACAGTTATGGGAAAGCTTTCGGTTTGTCCTTCATGAGTTTCTTACGGCAGTCTTTGCTCCTTCATACATATCCTTTATAGCTTGGATATATGCTACTCGTACTCCTTTCTTCTCTAAAATCCTCCAAAGAATGTCTCTTGGGACCCTATCATACGCTTTTTCCAAATCTATAAAGACCATGTGTAAATCCTTTTTCCCATCTCTATATCTTTCCATCAATCTTCGTAAGAGATAGATTGCCTCCATGGTTGAGCGCCCCTGGCATGAACCCGAATTGGTTGTCCGAAACCCGTGTCTCTTGCCTCAATCTATGCTCAATGACTCTCTCCCAGAGCTTCATTGTATGATACTCATTAGCTTAATACCCCTATAGTTCATGCAATTTTGTACGTCGCCCTTATTCTTGTAGATAGGCACCAAAGTGCTCGTTCGCCACTCATTTGGCATCTTCTTCGTTTTCAAAATCCTATTGAAAAGGTCAGTGAGCCATGTTATACCTGTCTCTCCCAAAAGTTTCCATACTTCGATTGGTATATCGTCTGGGCCTATTGCTTTTTATGCTTCATCTTCTTCAAAGCTACAACCACTTCTTCCTTCCGGATTCGACGATAAAAAGAGTAGTTTCTACACTCTTCTGAGTTACTCAACTCCCCTAAAGAAGCACTCATTTCATGTCCTTCATTGAAAAGATTATGAAAATAACCTCTCCATCTGTCTTTAACCGCGTGCAAAAAATGAAATGCTTGGGTAGCAGTAAAAAAATAGCTAAGTAACATATAGTATAATCCCAAACGTGAGGGTTTTACAGATCGTTAGGATATTAGGATTTGTGTATTTATATCTGGCATCTCTTTATCTTTATCATTCATTAAGAAGGGGAATGTTTGTAGTTTCTATAATTCGAAAATGTGCCAAAATTGTGAGCATGGGTCTTGTTACATAAGTAGTCCTGTGAATTCTTATATTTTGATTGACGAACGTGAGACTGGTTTGTTTAGTAAAGGCATCGATGCCAAGTGGAGCACAATTGGGCACCAGGGCCATGTTTAGCATCGTAACCATACCATCAATATAAATGCACCAAATTTTCCTTAAAGTAGCCGGATGAGGCCTCATGTGTTGATCAATAATATTAATATTCATAGGAAGATTAACAAATCTAATATTGTGTTTGTTCAGTTGAATCAAAACCACAGTTGGCAAGGCATGACATGTTATTGTAGAAGCAATGTTTTCTTTACATAAAACAAGCATAACTACCGCATAATGAATATTTAATTTAAACAAACATTCATCTTGGTACCTGAATATGTGATAGAAGTATCTGGAACCAACCAGAGTATGATTCCAAGAACCGCTCAGAGCTGCATTCCCGACAAGTCACCCCCATCAACAAGTTCCTTCCCAACATTTATCTGGCTACAACAGAAAATATGATCAAAAGAATTCACAAGGTAGACAATGAAAACTCTGTAGAATGAAAACAGATAGTTCTTTAGTTGCCTCGTCGTAACATGGTGTCAAACTATTACTTATGCCTCTCGTCATAACATGGAATTCAGGGTGCACTTTGCCAACCTAACATTGATAGCTAAAACTGAAAATTTATCTTTCAAAATGAATATATTGGACTTTCCCATAGTACTAAACCCAATTGTTTTCAGTAAACTAAAGAAAATCAAATTTATCGTTTTGAAAGAAAAAAAGTAAACAAACAAGTAACTTCAATTAAATTGCAATAGAAAAAAAACTAATACGCACATACCATGTCACTAGAAACAAGCTGCACCAAGCGACGGACCCAGGAATCCATAGCGGATTTCCACGTAGTGATTAGCTTTTGGTCAGTCACATCTTGTACAGACTCACAAAGGAGGTTGTGGGTTTTGATTGCGTAGACTACCTTCGACAGCTCCGATGGACTCGCAGACGGGTGTTTATCGTCGGGGAGGTCTCTGATGATCGTTTGCAACAGACGGGGCCTTAGAGCAACATCGTACATGTCTTTGACATGGTCGAATGCCGCCATTGGAGCCGAAGCTTAAGCTCTGAAATTGAACATACAGGAAAAAACAGAGGGCCTTAGGGTTTATGAATTTGGTAGTTAAACCCTAATGGGAGGGAGCTTTGGTCTATGTTACAGTTCAAAATTCAACCCAAGTCAATAACTTTCAGTGTAAGGAAATTTCCTACATTGCTTCCCTTCCCCACAAAATAGTAAAATACCATGAATAGTTAACTCTCAAATAAATATTCAAATTTACACTTTGCAGAATAATTTTTTTTATATTTTTAAATGGAAATCCAGAAAGAAACTTACCAAATATCCGACAAGGTTGGTGGAGAAGGAGATGGGGGTGTGAGAAGTGAGTGAAGAGACTAATAGAGGCGAATGTTTGGGAGAAAGATGCGTTTACTGTGACAAGTGAAGAACAAGGGTGCCGGGGGAGCTGCAGGTTGTTTAGGGGCGGCAACGATGGGCTAAACATACAGTTCGGATGGGCTTTAGATTTTTTTTCTTTTGGACTACAGCCCAGTCAGTGTGGTAAGCACGCCGTAAAAGTTAGATCCTCCAGCAGATGGGATACTCGAGCCCAGTCAGTGTGGCGAGCGCTCCAAAAAAGTTAGGTCTTCCAAGAGATGGGATACTCCTAGTATTTTACCGGTTTTAGTTTTTGTATAACGGGTAAAACATTCGGAGTATCCCTTAAATAGCTAGTGTATACGTATGAAGTGGTAAAAAAGATGTGTAAATTATCATTTAGTACTATAATCTAGTGGTATTCATCTTTATTTGTAAGTGAAAAGTCTTAGGTTTAATTCTCGACAAAGTCGAATTCGAACCACATTATTTTTAGGTTATTGTGAAACTTAGCCTACTCTTCCAGCTCTTACGTGTGGATAACAACATCACCCTTCTTACTGTTAATCATGTTTGTACTTTAATCACGATGAGAGTGCGTGTGTTAACCATTTTTTCTCCAAGTGACAGCTCGCAGCTGATGTTTGGTGTCATCTTTCTTCTTGCCCTTTATCCAAAATCCTCTCCTTTTCATACGTCTTTCGCGGAGTATGTTAGGTGATTTCCAGGAATGGAATACCACATTTCCACATTTGGTTGTGTGAATACTTCCTTTTTGACCTCGTTGGCCTAATTTCTGTCTTTTGACAAAACGATAAAACAATTACAGAAAAAATCATAGTACAAGAAGAAAATTTGAATTTTAGTGGACCACTTGACTAGATTAGGGATGAGCAACGGTTATGGCGGGCGGGTAACCGCGGTTATTTATTCATAACCGTTTATTCTCATACCCGCATAACCGTTTACCCGTTGAGTAATTGTCTAAATGGTTATACCCATACCCATAACCGTTTATAAACGGTTAACCATACCCATAACCGTGTACCCATTTAACCGTAACTGTTTCCCATTTATCATTTTTTAACCCATTTATCCTTTCTTTTTTACCATTTACTCATTTTTCACCCGTCTACGTGTTTTTTTAACAACTTGAAAATTAAAAAAGAAAAATTTGTCATAATTTTATTTTTCTAATAATTAAACACCGTTATAGGTACATTCATCATACATTTCCGCATTTTAATTTTTTAAATCCTTATTCCATTCCAATAATTGAAATAATAGTTTACGGACGACATTTTTAACTGTTAATAGTAAAGGTAATATAAAATTTGCTAAGTATTCTTGGGTTATAAAAATTGTTAAAAGACAATATTCTGGGTTATTTAACTCGGAATGTAAAGTATTAACATAATATATATAATGGACTATGAAATTTAAAGTGGTTAAGGAAAACTATATTATATTAGCTACATATATCATGCACTATAGTCAATAGCATTGATCTAAGTTTTGTCCAATACGGAACATGGTGTATGTTAATTTTACATATATAAAATAAATGGGTAAACGGTTACCCGTTTATAACCACAGTTAATACCCATAACAGCCTATTTAAATTTCATAGGTAAACGGTTATACACATAACTGTTTATTTATTTAAACAGTTACCCATAACTGTAACCATAAAATTTAAATGGACGGGTAACCGCGGTTACCCATAACCGATAGGTATTTGCCCATCCCTAACCTAAACTCATGTTTGTGAACATATGAGTAAAGCTGCCACATAAGTCGGCAAAGTACAATTTTAGTTATTTAATTCTAGCAATGTCATTGGAGATGTTTAATGGAATTTGTTGTCAAGCGTTTCAGGGCTCCCGTGAATATGCCGTAAGGTGCGAGACATGAAGGCCAAGTGTTAACCAACACAACAGATGCAGATGGATGGTCAGCGTCAGACGATCCCGTGACTCAAAAAGTCTCGTTTCCACATTAAACTTTGAGCGCTCGTGCGTTTCCCACCACCAACCCCACATGGCACATGGTGGTGTAAATCTGAGTCATTTGATTGGACCAATTTGTCAAATATTGGTTTGGTTTGTTGCAAAGCAGTGTGGTGGGTGGTTCTTGCTTCAAATGGAGACGACACCCTCCCAAAGTCTTCTGCAATTTGCTTTTTCCATTGCGTTGTACATCGCCAACCTCAACCAAGCAACTCAAAGTAGGAGAGGACTTTCATGCCATTTTGTTAGTATTTCAAATCCACTACTAATTGTAATGTGATGAAAAAATATGATAATATGTAATATCAACTAGAGGTATTAACAAATGGTTTTGCAATAGACTTGTTGCTCAAGTAATTAAAGGCTTATACCCAGATACCCGAAGCTCGTAGTTTCACAACTTAATTGGGCTTACACTATAAAAATACACTCACATTTGGAGGCAGAATTTGATGATCTCCTTGTGATATTGAGAAGAATTGATGAATGTTCACAATGACTTCAAGTTGAAGGCAAGCAGGAGTACAGGGAGGGCCGGGGATTGGTGGGGAAGCAAAGCGACCCTTACGGGCTTGTTTTGGCTTTCCTACTCCCATCACCCTTATAAATCCTGGAACACATTTCTCTTCGTTCAATCGGTCTAAACCCTACAACACCTAGCTCTAAACATATTTAGGATGAACAATTGAAAGGATGAAAATGGTTGGAGAAAAATGCTGGTATGGATCTGGCGTTATAAATTATTTTGGGGGTGTATAAATAACGTCAAAGTCGCTTAGAGTCCACTCTGCCACTTCATCTTTGTCACTAACAAAAATTTCTGTACCAACATCAATTGATCCCCATATCCTTCTAGCAGGAGTGGTGCCTGGATCCTACAAATCAGAAACAAAAAATGAATATCAATCGCATGAAGTACATAAATAGTTTTAACTAAACACAAAATAGTTACCAAACACACCGTAAATTACCCAAAGTTTAGTTCACTTAATCAGCAAAAATTACCTGGTAGTAGTGGAGTCGACTAGATAGGCCACCAACATCAAGCTCCCAAGTTCTAGCATCCCCAATCCAACCCTGCCCTTGTTTGGTTGGATACCCGTACTCGGCCCAGATGGGGTGAGGGAGCAACTGAACTATTTCTTGTGCCTGGGGATTACTGTAAGGATCACATACGCTTACAGGTTTCTCTAAATGTTCAGCATTTCCCGGAGCACAGTAGTAGTGATAAGCCCCATATGGGAAGTTGGCAGTGTCGTTTCTATAAATTTTTCTGTCGTTTGGAGTGATATGGTACGGCGGGCAATTGCCTAAACCTGTGGGGCTGCACCAAGCAGGAGTTTCCGGGTTTATGATCATCTCCGTGTATCTGGTCACATCCGTGAGCACATCGCCGTCACAGGGTTTGCCATTGTTCTTCCAACAGCTACCAATGTCAATGAGGTAAAACTGGCTCTTGGGTCCTCCTCCTTGTTTGATGTCCAAAGTCAGCCTGACTTTAAAATTGGGTGACTCGGGAGGCTGAAAATTGACTTTGAATCGTAAGTTATCCGATTAAATGGACTTATAATCCATCTCTTCTAAAATAATCTAGAAGCAATTATATTAGAAAACATGGGCAGATCCAACTCAAACAAAGATGAACGTAGGCAGATCCAGCTCAAACAAAGATGATTATGCTTATAATTGAACACAAGTTATTCATCTCTACTTAATTGAATTAGATGTAGAGCCAAGGCACGGAACATGCGGCTTTAGGCGAAAATTCGTAGTTAGACCGCTTAAATCAGTGGCCTTGTGACCTTCACTAGATGAACTCTTCACTAGATGAACAACTCGAGGGTTGGCCTAATAGTACCACTAACAATTAAAAAAGGTCCAGAATATGAAGTTTCTAACACCGTTGACCATGATTTGGTATGAAATGCTATCTAACAGGATTGAATAATTAATCGTTTCATGCAAAAAGGACAGAGACAGATACAAGATTAATTATTCATAAAAATCCTCAGCTGAATAAATTAACACCAGAAAAATCCAGTTAGCTTAACGGATTCTCAGCCGTCCAATTAGGTCCTTGTCTTGTTAATTGTTACTTGGTTATTTGTCATATCAAACAAGGAAAGCATATGTCCTGTTTGCCAATCACTACATTACATATTTTCTTATCACCAAGACAAGCAATAAGACTAAACTGTGTGTACACAATTAAAAGTGAAAGAAAAGTAATTGGATTCGAGTGCTTGAAATTATATTGGGATGAATCGATTATTCTACTTACAATTTTGAGCATTCCTCTTGTATCATAGTGATAGCCACCAGAATATCCTTGGGTTGCATCAGCTCTGAGGTAGAGCATCAGCCATGGATACTTCTTTGAAGTCTTGAGCATGTGCCTGAACTCCCAGCTTCCAACACCAAGTTTCTTCTTCCATTCCACCTCGTAGAAAGATATCGAATCGAGCCCATCACTGGGGTTGGATCCCAGATCATAAGTCCCATTGAAACCTCCTCGCATTGTGGTATTACCATCCAGCAGAGTCCTCTGGTGGACCACAGTGGGTTGATTCATACAGCCCTTCCCAAAGCAAGGGAACCTTCCGGGATCGCTAAAAGGCGGTGTCTTTTTCCCATTGGAAGGGCACAGCCCAGCCATTGTGTCAAAGTTTCCATTTTTGAGCATAATCATCCAGAATTGCCACGGTTTTGGAGAGTCTTGGACTTGACATAGAGAACCCAGATACAGCTCCTTCTCCACTGCATAAAGGTCCACATTGTTTAAAGCCCCCTGGCTTATCCCTGGGAATGGAGTCCCAACCCCAAGCAAGTTGTCTTTTTTGCTCACTCCGTGTTTTAAGGAAGTACCTAAGATTAACAGATTAATCGGAATTAATTAAGAATTATGCAGTGACAAACATTGACAAGAAATTGGAACATTTATCGAACAAATGGTGAGCAAATAAATAAATGATTGAAGCAAATCTGAAAAAAAACCCCACTATTTTTCGTCAGTTTCTTTGTTGATTTATGGTGGTTGTGCTTACTTGTGAGATTAAAGCAATCAGCAGCTCTGGGACTGCCCATATCAGGTGCTTCTTCTCCAACTTCATTGCAGAAGTTCCAAGCTTCCAAGGCCACTCTCAGCTCATCCCTTCTCATTCCTGGGTCTCCAACTGCTGTGACATAATCACTTTTCCCAGAAGCAAAAGCACCATCAATGATACTAATAATACAGAGCAGCAGAAGAATCAGATGTGACAATAACAATGAAACATGCATCATCATCATCTGATTCTGATTCTTCTTCATGGCTCTCTCTTCTGTTCTCAGAGAAAGAGCAAGATGGTGCAACTTATATATCTACGGTATTTTGGGAATGCTGGTGAAGTGCGGATGTTGGCCGGTTCCTCCCTCTACTTTTTGTTTATTCTGAAAATATTTAACTAACTAAATTGCCGAATATGTGTTTATTAATCGGATTATTATTAATCTGTTAAAAGTTATAAAAGTATAGACTCTGTTCTTTTTCGTTTCACCTAAAGCAACAAAGGTCTTTTGTGGACCCTCTGTCTCTCTCAAGCTAAATTGACTTGTTTTCATACAGTAATACTGTTTACACCCATTTTTATATATGATAATACTATTCTTTCTCATATTGTTAAATAATCAAATCAGACCTGTTATTTCTATTAAAAATCCCAATTGATAAAACAAATTACAACACAAAATTAAGAAATTTGCTAGCATATATTTAATAAATTACACCAGATCTTTTAGGATAAAAGTCGAGCTAATAAGTGATCAAATTATCCACTTCTCTAAAACCTCGACCTTTTCTTTTTCTTATTTTCAATATTATTGCTTTAGTTTTGAATTGAATAGCGTGACTCCAACTAGAAGCAACTATCGATCCGCTGGAGCCTGGAGGGGATTCTATCGTCGGTCACAAGTGGGACCTTTTATGGTGTAAAAGACGCATGAGCCGAATTGGATTTAGTCTGGAATGGAAAGAGAGAAGGACCTAAAAGGGTCAGGAAGTCAAGCTGTTCGGGTTCTCGGTCGGTTTCTGTTCCGCCGGGTTCATAACTAGAAAATTCGCCCTTAGAACGAAAAATCAAGAGCTCCGAGATAATAAAAACTCAGAAGAATGACTCAAGAACACTTTTACATGTCCCTCGTTTTAATAAAATAATGACGTATGTAGATCGGTATGCCATTTTTGCATTAAACTCGTTGCATGTAAATACATGGTTGTCACAAATAAGGTTTTACAACCTAAATTTCTTTTTATTCATATTCATTTGCCTTTTCTAATTTTTAGTGTTTATTTTTGTGGTGAAGGGTGGCAATTGTCCATTAATGAGCACTAGTTCTCCTTCTTGTAATTTATCACTTTCGTAATGAAAGTTGGGATGGTCACAGATATTTATCAGATTTAGGAAACCTAAATTTTTTGCCTGGAATGTAAACTGATATTCTCCTTTTTGACCTTTTCAACCATTTACTGGAAAATCAAATCTTAACTGTTCAATACATTTTGCTTATTTTTTGGGCCAACTTGAATTTTATTTACACTTAAGAAACTAATCGTATATTATCGTTTGTCGTGTCATGTCAGTGGATAATAAAAAGTTAAAAAAGATAAAAAGTTAAAAAAAGATAATGAATATGGGCGTGTTTGTAGAAATAGTCGACGACCATAATATCTAGCTGGGAAGTCAAGTAGTCCACTTGTTGATGGTGTTATTATACATGGCACTTGCTAGCTACTAGCTTTACAAATTCAATTCAACTTAAGACTCCTAAATGAGTTTGTTTACCTGCTCCTTCCAGCCTAGTGCATCTTCCCACAATTAATCGTAATCATTATTCCATCTAGATAAGTACAAAGACTATATGTATATACTATTTTTGATTACTAACTTTTTTTGACATACTTTAAAATAAATAAAAACATTTTCGGTGAGAGTGTTTTTGAATTTCAAAAGCACTTGAGGTGCATTTTGAGAGAAACACCAATTGTGTTTTTTTTTTTTTTTTTCAGAAAACACTTTCATCAAAAAGATTTTTAATCATTTTAAAGTCACTTCCAACCACACCCTACATTTGGATTAGTGAGATGGTCATAGTTTAATACAAGGCCAGACATAATTATGTAATATGCCTACGCACTTATGCTGAGAACATGCCTGGCTGCCTGCAATCCGATCGAGCTTCAACATTTCACACGCACCAGAGAAACCACTCACCAGAATGCATTACCAAAACTAATATATATATCCCTTATCCTGTCATGAATGAAGGGACCATACATATGAATTGTTTGAGTTATTAAGGAACAGGTAACGTTAGGTGGTGGATACAAATTTGATCAAATGATATATTTATAATTTTATATATGCACATACACACCCACAGATAAGTTTGGCTCGTATATGCCTACTTACTCCTCAATATATTGTGTTCTCTACCTGATCATCTTCTTTGCAACTTGCTTTTGCCACCATATTAAGTCATTTTCTTTCTCCTAATTTTATACATACGATACGAGTACATGCCCATGACAATCTGATAGTGACACAAACGATCGTGTTTGATAATAATTTTGTTTTTAGTTTTGATTCTATTTTTTTTTTATTTGAGACTATGTAGAAAAAAAAATAAAGAAGGATGAAGAAGGGTTATTGACACACCCCGTCCCGAAGGAGGGCATGCTGGCCGTCACGTGAGAGTGACGTAACCATTTGCACAGTACGGAAGCTTTAATTATACAATTTATAAGTTGATACACCCGAAGGTGAGTCCTAATTTTGTCCAATCTGTCAGAACCCCGCTGTATTCCTCGTAGTCACCACACCTTTGTGATTCCTGAACCTGGAGGGGCGCAAAACCAAAATTGAGTGGGTCAGTAAAACAATTCTTTTCCAAATCCAAACATTTCTCAAAACGTTGTAACCCCTCTCCGTAAAACCTGTATACTTTCCCAGAAATGTAAAATATAAATATACATATATATTCTCAAAACTTCATTTTTACTATCTCAACATTATCTCTTTATCAATCATGCCATGCCATGTCATCTCAACATTTCTCATATTAATTATGCCATGCCACATCATCTCAACAGTAATAAGGTATGAATGCATCAACATAATCATATCAGGTGCAAGAAAGTAATCAACCGTAGGCCCTCTAATAGCCCTATACGGTTGAACCTAGAGCTCAAAATCTATCATTATCACTCTACCGGAGTCACCTCTGTGACCCGTCCGGCCTTCTGCACACAAGTTACGCTCTAGTGCTTCTCATAAATCATCTGTGCACATAATCTAAGGTCACCCACCAGTCGGAATCTCACTAACACTCTCGCGACTGGTCTGTCGTACCCACTCCGCGTGGACTGTACGACTAGCATCTACTTGGATCCAAGGCGAGCGTGCGATGCGGTGAATACTATAAGCACTAAACCATGGTGCAGGATTTGAGCTCAATATATATCATCATCATCATAACAGTAATTAAATTTTAAATACTCCTGTGCGTCCACCGCACCATTTCATACATATGCATCATAAATCAATTCTTACCTGTGCGTCCACCGCACCAATTCATACATATGCATCATATATTAATTCATGCATGGCATTTCAACTCACATTTCACATTTCTATATACTTTTCATATCAATTCTATGCATGGTATTTCACTTCCCGTTTTTCCACATAACTCATATGCATTTCATTTTAAACATAATTTCATGCATTTTCAATTTCTGGAAAAACGTTAAGTATATATATATATACGGAAAACAAAACTGCCCACTCACCTGGAGTTCGTCCAACAACTCCCTAGCACCACACATCAAGGCGTCACGACGATCGCCGCCTAGAATAGTAATCAAATCCAACCTCAGAATTCATATCGATAGAATATATAACTTATATAAAATACGTCACTATGTAGTTCGATCCGGAAGATCTGCCACTCAGATTTTAAATCCATAACTTCCAGAGGTCCACAATATATCTCTAGGATAACATCCTAAAATTTCATTACCATCCAACGGTCGGATCTCCGTCAATTTCCAAAACTAAGTGACGGTTAACATTTTATATTATGGACTTACAATTCCAATTCCGGAAGATCCGTAACTCGAATTCCCAATCCGTAAGTTCCAATAATCCTCAAATATTACGTATTACAACGTATCAAAGTTTGGTGACGATCCAACGGTCGGATCATCAATTCACATTTTCACCTAAATGTGAAAACTATAAAACGTTATTTGAACACCTAACCAACAATCCTCAATAACTTTCTCATACGGTGTTCAATTTAGGTATATGAATATACCACAGTGATCTACTCGACGTCACGGACGTCGACATATTTTTAAAATAATTTTATTTTTATTTTTTTATTTTTACTGTAGCACCTTCTTCTTCCTTGGGTCGCCGGACTGGTTTTTCCGGCGGCCGTTTTCCGGGCAGTTTTTCAAATTGCCATAACTTTGTCATTTCTCAACGAAATCAAGTGATTCAAAAACGAAAGTTGTAGCCCTTGAAGAGACAAAGAGAATGGTACCTCTCACAACACCTAGTTCGCCGTGGTTTGGCCGGAAACTGCCTCGAAAGCCTCGGAGGTCGCCGGAAACTGGGTATTTTTCAAATGAGTATAACTTCTTCAATACTCAACTAAATTGAGTGAAACAAAAAGGAAAGTTGTAGTACTTGACGAGACGAAGAGATTGATACCTACCTCGACTCCTAACTCGCCGGGTATTCGCCGGAAAACACCTCGAAAGCTCCGGCCAAACTTTGAACTTGTCGATCTCCGTGTTCTTACGTCCAAAAACTTCCAACGAAGCACTCCGAGCTTCCTTGGGACCTCACTAAGCTTGCTATGATCTTATTTTGGCCTAAAACACAACCACTTCAAAGATCATGAATAGTACACATTCACGGGGTCTTTAGAACTAGGGTTTTTCGAAATGAAAACTTACCTGAAAATGGTAACCTACGTGATCGTGAAGTCCTCAGGGTTGCAATGGTAGTCTTAACTTGGACGTTGGTATAGGTTTTAGGTGGTTTTGGTGGTTTTGGTGGTTTTGGTGGTTGCCCGTGCGTTCGAGAAGAAGAGAGAGAATGAGAGTTTCTGAGGAAGAGCTGAGGAAGAGAGAGAGTATGAAGGACAGTATACGGGAAATGGGGAGGGTTTTGAGGTGTGGGGATCCCACATGTCCAAACCAATCCCAATTTCATAAAATTCCATCATAAAATTTAAGTCTAAGTCTCCACTCCAATTACCAAATTTTTTTGGAGCTTAGATATAACGAACGTGAAAATTATACCTTAGTCACATATTAGGGACATTTCCGTAATTTCATGTCCTCGGAATTAAAAATTCCGACACGGGCTGTG